CATAATGAATGGAGAGGGGTGAAGAGAGGTAACAGAGGAGGGCAGAAGAGTGCTGTTTGTGGGTGGCATGAGCATGTACAGTAACATCACCGTGGCTTGCCTTGTCTTCCTATAGGGCCATCCCCCTCTGTAATATCTTTATTCACCTCCCAGCTTGTCAGAGTGCCCCCTACCATGTTTCCTCCTCGACAGGGCTTGTAGCAACATGTGTGAATGCATGTGAGCACTCAGATTTTCCTCAGCCAGCTCCCCCCTTCCCCCTACCACATCAGCTTTATTTGGGGAAACAACCTTATTTGTCCTCTGTGCTGTACTGGGACTCAGATGCTGCGTGTGTGCACATGGGTTGGAAGTGGTGTGCGCAACTTGTCTCTCGAGTAGGTCATTGCAACAGATGCCAAACAGATAATGGTTTTGTGAAGACAATATACTTCCCGAGGATACAGATGTTCTGATCAAGGATCTCTGTGTGTGTGTGTGCGTGTGCTTGCTTCTCTCAGGGTATCTCTGTGTGGGTTTGCTGAGGCCACAGTAGGCTTTTAGAAGAGGAACATTGCTATTTGTTAAATTTCAGGTGGACAGCAATGGGCCACCATTTCCACCTCACTGCCCGTCTGCCCATTGTCTCCTCCTGGGCAGAGGCTCTTTTTTTCCCAGAGTTGACTTGCCTAGCTGATTTTGGGCAGAGTGGGGTGCAGTTTGTGGGCTATCGTGGTCTGTGAGAGTAAGGGAATAAAAGAAGATGGGTTGAGGACACTGGATTGAGGACACTGGAAAGCAAGTAAGCCAGTGCTAGAGGATTTGTGGAGGTTCTGGTGCAGCTGGACATGGCTACATAGTCACCCACAGGTGGGATGCTCTTTGCCTTGCTCAAAGGCAATGGTCAAAAATGAAATTAAGGAGGTCCCTGCTGACACAAGCAGTGGCCTATAGATAGAGGCAAGTGTAAAGGAACATATTGCCTCTTTCAGCAGAGCACTGGCTAGAGCTAGAAATAGTGGCAACTTGGGCTGGCCTCATGTTTCCCACCAAACCCACCCTCACTACCGGTGTGGGTGAGGAACACCATGGCAGGATGAGAAGCCCAAGAGCTTGTCTCTGTTTCCACTGGCTGCATTCTCCATCTCTGAGCTGCAGTGATGGTCTGTGTGTTCCTGACAGGGTGACTGAAAGGCTGATGTCTGGATACTGGCTGGACGTAGGCTGGCCCTGCGGCACAGTGTGAAACCTGGGTTGTGGTGGGGGGCTCCTTGACAGTCAGCAAGGCGGGATGCTCTCAGCAAGGGAACAGATTGAAGGCAGATTGTGTGGGTGAAGTAGCCCTGTGCTACACAGATAGGGAGTGGCTTCAGAAATGGCATTTAATCATTCAACATTAACACAAGACATCTGTCACCACCCTTGGCAGTGACGGTGCTACACAGCAAAACAATATGTTCTGGTGCTCCTAATCACTGGAAAAACACTACTTTTTGCAGAGAGTTCTTTTAGTGCCCGGCACAAATCCTTCTATTTTATTATAGCAATCCCAGCCAAATCCTTCAATAAATGGAGTTTTTATTAATGTGCAGCTGTTGAATGAGAAAAAAATAAAACTCAGAAATAAAAATGAATCCCTGAATAATCAGGCTGATCCCAGGCAGTAAGAACAAACAGGCCAACCACATACTTACAGCTTTTTGGTATTATTTAAAAATATAGACAGGGCTTTACTTTCCCTCTCTTTTTATTTTTTACACAGACCTGATTAGATTTTGCTCAGGAAGATCCAAGCCACTTCTGTGAGCTGGAAGTGCAGCAAGGAATGAGAGGAGCTGGGATGGGTCACATCCATTATGTGTGCCTGATATTTGCCTGCTGCTGTGGTCAGGAATTTGCTCTGACCAGAAAGGAGAGTGGAGGGGTGGCACAGTGCCCAGGGCAGCTGGGGTCCGGCTTTGCAATGACGGATGTGCTTGCTTCTCAGCAAAAGAGAACAGAAGAGAGTGTCAAAAAAAGAGGGTGGAAAAAGCTGAGTGACCAAAGCCCTCTGACCATTACAGCTCTCATCAGAATGACAGTGTGGTTTGCTTTAACTCGTTGCAGTTCGGTGTTCTTTGCCTTGATTTTGCAGTTAAAAATGAAGGAAAAGTGATCCCATGATAATATGGTAGGTGAGGCAGGTGCTGAGTTGGGGGAAAAGAGCAATGCTGTCCTGGATTTAGCCCTAGGACCTTTCCCTGTGCGTACATAGGTCCTGGCCTGCCAAGGGATTTGCAACCACTGTGTCACGAGTGGGGAGGTCCACCAGGAATGGAACAAATCTCCTTCCTTTATGCTCACTATTACTGCTGAGAGATCTGGTTTGACTGTGCTACACCCATGGCACAGCCAGGCTACTGCACGCGTGGTGGAAGCTGGGCTAAACCAGGTCCTAGGCTACAGTCCAGCTGGCAATGCAATGACCATTGAGGACTGTTCCCTGGTGGCTCCAGCCCAAAGGAGAGTGCTGAGTGAGCAGAGATGTAGGAGACCTGCTGGAGCTGCCATCAGATGCGTGTATTCAGGTAACTGAGACCTCGGCCAGCCCCATGAGGGCCCACCTAGAGCTAAACCTTCAACAGGAGGGCAAGAGCAGCCTGGGTAGCACCAAGGCTTTCATCCTGCCTGAGGCACTCAGAGGTTAACTGTGGCCCTTGGGACAGTGCCTGTCACCAGCAGCCAGACCCTGGTCAGCCGGGGGTGCTGCCTGGCCAGCGTGAGGCGGTAGGGAATGCCCCAAGCAGATAGCACCCTGCCTACAAAATGACGCGACCATCTCCACTATTCTTTCTGATTAAATTGGAGCCGAAGTAAAGCCCTAATTCTTCTGATTAAAGCTTAGAAGTTAAGCTCTTCGGACAGGATGTGTGCCTTGCCCTGTGCTCTCCTAAACCACTTTGTCCACTTGATGACAAGACACTAATAATACACTCCTATGTTTCTTCTCAAACACTCATGATGCCCAGTCCATAGGGTATATGATGTGCCTGGGACATCCCACCACTTCTCTCGGAATAGTGGTATTTATATGTGGTCACCCGGCTATTTTCAGAAGCAGGGAAGTAGGGAGGAAATGCTCCAAGCAAAGCAGAGGTCCAGCTCTGACAGGGTTTATCCTTTATGGCTTGGGCTTTTCCTAGTGGAATTGCCCTAGGAGACATGCCCCAACCCAGGCATTGGTCGGACTGTTACACAAATGCTATCTTACCTCAGGTGCTCTACAAGCATGGATCAGTCCACTGTCACAGCCCCGCAGGGAATGGGTAAAGGCAACTAACATGACAAGTTAGGGCATCAGAGACAGGAGAAGATTTAATTGTCACTGTTTTGTCCTTCATGAATAGGTAGTTTACCCCAGGGTAGCTCTGTTATGAAGCTTCACTTGAGTGCTCTGTACCCTGCTTGTCTGTTCTGCAGGACGTTCATAAAATGCAGGATAGGATTGTGGATGAGGCTCACCTGCATTGCACTTGCCTTTAAGGAGAAGCTCCTGGCACCCGCTGGGAAGCCTGTCGTTGGGCAAGACTGGTCTGTGGTTTCAGAAGGGGCTGGAGACACATCCTTAGGGACTCATCCTCCACACATGTTCAGCTTCTTGCAGGCAACCTGGGAAACTTCTGCCTCGAGCATCTTGCATGGGGAAGCTCTCCTGTCCCTCCTCCTCTGCACCACAGCCAGCAGCACAGCCTGGTATTGTTTGCCGCAGATCAATGCATTTAGCCATGTGGAAAAATATCATTACCACCAAGGCTCAGCTTTTCTTTCCCCTTGAACCTCTCCTGCTGTGCTGGTGAGGGGCTGGCTAATTGCCTCTTTTCTCAGGTTGCCCCTGGGGATGGCTGCCCCACAGCCTGCCACACAGCTCACGCTGGTGTTCTCAGGGCTTCCCCCAGCCGGACAGTCTGTTTGCCGAACAAATGAACACTCAGCCACCGTGCAGGGCCATGGGGCTCTTTGTTACATCTCCCCTTGTGAGCTAAATGAACAAGGTGGGGTCACTTAAAAAGAGAGGGAAGGATGGATCATGGGCTCCCAGCCAGGAGTGGACATGCAGGTAACCTGCTTGTGTGTGCTCCAGACAATTATGGTGCTGGGATGGCCCCCAAAATAGGACTGGCACAGAGGTTTCCTGCCCTGGGCTGTGCAGGGTGACAAGAGCAGAAAGAGTATTCCCCAGGGCTTCTGCTGCCACTGCCACCTCTCAGGAGTCCTTGGAGGGCTTTGGCTGGCAGAGCACTGCAGGAACTGCACAGGAATGTGAGCAGAGGGAATGCTGAAGGAAACTGATGACCAAGCCTCTTTTCCCTAGAGAAACTGGAAACTTTCTAGGTACTGAGAAACAGGAAATAAGGCCCTTCACTGCCATTTCCAAATAGAAAATACCTTATTCCACCTTCAAAATCCAGCGAAAGCTCAAGACAGAAGGGAAGACTGAAGACAATAATCCCACAAAAGAGAAGTTTATTTCTTCCTCTTAATATTTTTCTTTATCTTTTTTCCCAGAGTGTGACAATACCAATAATATAAGTCATATCTGAGGTGCTTAAACAACTCTTCGTTGTCAGCAACATTGTTAATTTTGGACAATATATTCCCTTTTGGCATCAAGGCCCACCTTGACTATTCCTTGGAAGAATCATGTCAAAGCAAAGCCCAAGAGCTGGTAGAAAAGCTGGAGAGTCCTTTGTGCTAAAATCTGTCCTTTATTATAGGAAAAGTTAGTCCCAAAAGAAAATTTTACAAGTTTTACAACTAGGTGCTTCCAATGAAGGAGAAGAGGGAGAGGAGGAAGGGGAAGGGAGAGGGAGGGGACGGGAGGGGAGGGGACAGGAGGAAAGGGAAGGGAAGGTCCTTTAGGTGGTCTGTTTGGGGCAAGATAGCTTTAGTAAAGGGTCATTTGCTTGTATGATGTCGGGTGGGATCTGTGAAACAGCCAAATGTCAGTCTTCAGCTAGAAGACCCTAATTTATGTCTCTTAGGAGTCCAGTTGTTAATGGGGGGAAGGAGGAGACTGAAATTCACTAATGAATTATCTGCTCTGTCTGAAAAGAAATGGAGACGTTGCTTCAGGTTGGGAAGCCATGCTTCAAAGTCTCTCTGCTCAGCTGCAGAGTGGAGATATCTGGGAATGCCCAAGGTACCAGGCCAGTGCTGGACCTCTTTGCACAGCCGAAACCTTTGAATTCACCTGCAAGCAGAGGTGCCACGTTTCAGCACTTCAGGAGAGTTGATCTAGAAAGTGGTATTAAAGGGAAGAGTGAGAGTAGCCGCCTGTGTGTGTGGTGTCCTTCACTTTAATTAGGTTAGTTTCTTTCATGGCAAGTGCTGTCATACCAAGCTGAAAAATCAATACCATATGGCACAGCACTCAGAGAGCAAACTTGGAAATTAATTAAAGACGAAGTACTTCTGTTAGGTCTCATAGCATAGCGCCTACAATTAGGCATGGCTGAACTGGTTTGGAAACACGAAGGCTGGGCAACACCTTCACCCAGAGCTGAGCTGGACACTCTACCACTCTGGGGTCAGAATAAACTGTAATCTCCCTTTCTTTATTCCCAATGGAGATATATTAGAAACATTGAAATCACTGTTTTACATGTTTTCCTGGATTTTCCTGTGTCTCACTTCCAGCTTGCTGCAGGCCAGGGCAGGGAAGGGAATCATTTGTTCTGGGAGGCTTCTGCTTGGCAAGTTGCTGGGTGTGAACACAGAGAAGGTGCTTCCTGGGGGCTCACTGTGCTCCTGGGCTTGGAGCTGGCAAAGCTGTGGGAGGCAGCAGAAAGAAGAAAATACACATTGGTTCAGATGTTGTGACAATGAACACTGGATGGACACTTAGAGAAGGGTGATTTGGAGGCTGGGTGGGCAGAGGTGTCTGGGGGACAAAGAAGGCTGTGTGGTGGGGGAGAGGTGAGGCAGGGAAAAAAATCAGCCTTCAAGTCATCAGAGGAGCAACCAGTTCTCACAGGGACCATTTGCAGCCCAGGCACTTTCCCATCACTCCTTTACCACCTGGGACCAGTGACTTCTAAGCAAACCTAGTTGGCCCTGAGCTTTTCCAACACCCCTTGCAGTCACAGGCTGTAGCTGGGGCTCTTGGAGTGGTGAGGTATGCCCTATTCCCCAGCACATTAGTGAATATCTGAGGACCAGCTATATCAGGTTTTCCTATGGAAGCAAAAGGTGTGTCTGCCACAGACTGGGGTATTTTACGATGTTACATCCAAAGTGAGTGCAGAGAAGCAGCAATACCCGTGGAACCTTGATAAGTTGCCTGCACTAGGATCCAGCAAAATTTGGCTCCCTGCTCTGCCCCTGTCCTGCTGCCTGGACATGGGCAAGTCCCTTCCTTTCCCTCTGCCCATTCCATATAGTGTACAGGGCAGATGCCCATCACTGCTGACATCCTCCAGGCTAAAGCACAGTAAGATCCCCCACACCTCTATATCTAGATAGGTACTCTCATGGGACCAAAAAATTTTCTGCTCTCTCAAATGTAAAAGAAACCTGATGTGGTGATAAAATCCTGTGGAAAGGAAAGGAAAGGAAAGGAAAGGAAAGGAAAGGAAAGGAAAGGAAAGGAA